AGTTACTGGCTCTTAGTGTGAATGCACTGGGAATCAGGGATCCCAGGTGCATGCAATGAGAAACAGATTCAAGTCACTGGTGCTGCCTCTTGCATGGAAAATGAGGTTCCCCGGTCTGCTTGGGGGACCGAGTTGGGCAGTCTCCCTGTTTCAGCAGAAGGTGCACTCCTGCCCTGCGGAAAGAAGCCTTCCGTGTGTGCTTGCCCTGAATCAAAGTCAGGTGGCACTGCCCCCAAGTGTGGACCTGGGGTTTGGTCATGTGAGTGTGCACTGCAAGAAACAAACTCCCCGTGTCCGTCACCCAGACTCACATTCAGCACTGCCTCCCTGTGTGGGCACAGGGTCTGATCACCGGAAACAAACTCCCAGAGTTTGCGCCACCAGGCTCAGATTCAGCGCTGTCTCCCTGCGTGGGTGTGGGATCTGGTTGCGGAAAACAAACTCCCCAAGATCGCACACCAAGGCTCTAATTCAGCACAGCCTACCTGCTGGGGCGCACGGTCTGGTTGCAGAAAACAAATTTCCCGAATCTGCGCCCCTAGGCTCAAATTCAGCACAGCCTCCCTGTTTGGGCTGGATTCTGGTCACAGGAAACTAACTTCCCGTGTCCACACACCCAGGCCCAAATTCAGGTAGAGCTGCCGCTGCTGTGTGTGGGCAAGAGGTCTGTTTGAGCAGAGAGGGTCTGGCAGTTCCTATGCCACTGCGGTGGGGGTGGCCGGGAGGGGGATTGGCTCTGTAACTCACAGGAATCTGCGGCCTCGGTGCCTGGGGTCTTGGTGTCCGTGGGTCTGCAGCTGTGGTCGCAGATCTTTTACCCGAGTGGCTGTAGGCTCCTGGTTTGCAACTGAGACCAGATTGGGTAATAGCGTGGCTAGGATCCTAGTCTCAAGCAGTTCTGTTCTTCAAGACGGTGCAGTGTCTGTGCCAGGGGTATCCTCCCCGGAGTGTTTGTGGTGGCAGCAGGTTTTGCCGTCTAAGACTGCCCGGTTTCGCAGCCCTTTGAAAGACCTGTAGGATCTAGCTGTCCCTAGCTCTCACTCACACACACCACACATGTTCACACACTCCTCTATCGCTCCCTCAGTCTCTCACAAACCCTCCCTCCCTCGCCATCTTTTTTGGGAGGAGTCCATTTCTGATGGTGTCTTTATGATACGATATGGGGAATTTTAGGATAATTCCTAACAATATGGGTTGCTGTGGTGCTACATGCCAGGTCCAGAGCTTAGGTGCCATATATGTGCCCACCTGCCATTTCTTATTGAGTGCTGACCCAGTGAACAATAAGAACGAGATAGCATACATCAGTGTCACTTGCACTTGAAAATTCCCACCAAGATGGGGAAAGGAGAAGAGAGAAGGGTGAGAGAGAAATGTATTACAGAGGTAATGAACTAGAATTTTAAGAAAGAAGCTGATTAGAAAACACCCTGTCCTTGTCATAGCTTATTTGTGTTACCAGTGAAGTTGTGCCTTTGAGAATGAAGCTGTGAGACAAGTGTGGATCAAAGAACTATGGGCAGCAGGTAATGCAAAGTGATGGCCTCAGCAAACTGGGATTGGAGTCAGAAGTGTAATGGGCATTACCATGTTGTTTGGTGTCTTGGAGGCACAATTTGGAGGAAAACATGGGTATTGCCTGACAACACCAGTGTCAAATCCATCACATTCCCATTATGTGCAGCATCTCTTCCTACCCTGTGTTCCTGATACCCACTGTTATTAAAAGGGGGCATTGTGACTCACATTTGAGGATCAGAAGACAGGTATCTTGTATCTGTTCATCTGCCTTTATTGTTGTGAGAAGGCACAGCATCAGTATAAGGAGATTGACTTTTTAATGGGACCAAGGCCTGCTAACTTCTCTGATGTGGGGAGTAGGGAAGCATATGGATGTGCAGGGTGGGGGGTATGGCAAAGTTGGAATCTCAAGAGAGAATCTTATCATGGGATGTACTGTCTCCATTATGACAGGATATGAACTTTGAGGACGTGGCCATTGCCTTCTCTCAGGAGGAGTGGGGGCTCCTTGATGATTTGGAGGGTGACTATATCCACATCCATGGCTTCCACTTCTGCACCTTTCCTATAAATAAGGACCTTGGTGAATGCCTGTGCCAGGTATCGTCTTTATGTACATGAACCAGAGACTGTTCTTGTAAGACCCTCCTTCAATTGTTGTTTGTAATATTACCTTCTGTGAATACTATTGCAAACTGAATGCTATTGGCAAGTGATGGCTGCTCACCTCTGTTGTCTTTCATTGATACTTAGAATATTTATTTTGTACGTATTTCTTGAGAAGAGGGAGCAGGGAGAACCTCGGTTTTTTCCAGAGTGCACGTACAGGATGGTCCTAGAGGAAGGCTGGCCTGGCTGAGTGGCAACTGGGGGGAGGTATGACATAAGGATGGTGTTCAGATTGTACCAGGAACCTGCTCCTGTCCAACAGTGTTTGGTGCAGGTTCCAGTGGCCACACCTCATTTATACCTTTCCTTTTCCACACTTGACACTTTGCGGACTTGTCATTTCATCAATGGCTTCTTAATTTGGCTATCTTCTCCTTTGTGTCATTTTTACATCACCTATTCCTCTAAACATCTCTTTCTGCAGTATTCTACAACATGGACCTATGCAAGTGTTATGAGGATCACATACATGCTTAAACACCCCTCAAACACCAGCTACTTATATATTGAATTTTACTTGGAAAGTGATGTAACCAACCTTCTGCACAGCTTGCCCATGTCACCAGCACAGAAGATCTACTGAATGCTGTTAGCAGCAGAATGAGCTGGACAGTCCACTTATCTTTCATGTGGTACTTGCCATGTTTTTGCTCTATTTCTGTTGAAATCTCCACTGTTTTGTGATCTTCAGTGGTCAAGAACTTCACAGGGGCCTCTTATTAAGCCATGCTATAGGTCTTTTATTTTCAGCCAGTTGCATGAAACCAATGTAGTATGTGCAATACAGATTTATATAGGGACTTCCCCCTGTCACCAAAGTCAACATTCATTATCTCATCATTTCTCTGTTTTCAGGTCATTGGCATAAAATGGATGATGTGGAGGCCTATTCTGAACACAGTGTATCTGTGGGAGAGTCTCAGGTCAGGGCTTCCAAGACAGCTGCAGCCACCCAGAAGACCCATCTGTGTAAGCTGTGCTTCTCCATGTTAAAAGATATTTTGCACCTGAGTGAGTTACAAGTGGTTTACTTTGAGAAGAATG